AAAAAAAAAAAAAAAAAAAACAGTTTCAAGGCACTGTGAAGAAAATCAAGGCAAGTGAGAGGAGAGGCCACGTTGTTTAAAAAGGGTATAACATTTCAATCCCTTTACCTGATGCTGTTACCAGGAGGCTGTCTGAGGCACCTGGTCTACAGGATGAGGCACTAACGGGGTTTATGGAACAGCAAAAGGCAATGGTGGTAGGAATGACAAGGGAACTGTCTGAACATGCAGGTTGGTTCAGTCCGGGGGTTGCAGCAGGCCAGGCACCCACCTGAGACGTGGCCAGGGCTGAAATGGCACAGCCTGCAGGTGCCACAGTTATATCTATGGATGGTTTTGGTGGCAGCTGAGGGGAGGATGACTTAGGAAGGTTCTCCTCATTGATCACCCTGTTCCCTTGTGGCAAACTGGAAGGAGGTGAAGCCACAGTTTTGTTATCACCTTTGGCCCCTGTGTTCGAGGCCCTGCTGCTATCTATAATAACCTTGAGTTGGGGGTGTGGTGGAGAAGGCGTTTGGGATAGCCCTGGCTTTTTTGGAGGGATAGGAGGAGGATTTCCTCTGTCAACTCGTGCTACGCCATGAGTCTTTACACTGGTCCGACCGACTGAAGGGTGGGTGCCGACATCCCCTGTTGGGGGTGCTCCAGGCCTTTGGGGAGCACCTGCTTGAGGTCCTGTAAATCTTGACAGTGCTTGGGTCACAGTATTCCGAGCCAGTTGTTTGGCCACTAGGTTGTCACGACTTGTAGGCGAGACATCTCTTGACGGAGGACTTTGGGTAGTATTTCCATTTTGGTCTGGGTCATTAGCATTGCCCTGAAATCTAAATCTAGCTGCTTGGATTCGTGGGTTTAGACCTGGATGCAAAGAGGCGTTGGCACATGGTGAATGTAAACTGTGCATAGGTGGAGCTTGCGAGTTCTGAGGAGTTACGCCTGGTGTTTGAGCAGTGGTAGGGGCAGCGTTACTCAGAAGTGGGGGTATGCTACTGGTTGGATCTGGTGTTGAGCCAGTGCTTGGTCCATTTTCCTCAATTCTGTTTGCACTTGAAGGTGGGAAAGCCGGTACAGAAACACTCATCAAGTCACCATGGGAAGCCTGCCTGTCAATTCCTGGTCTGGCCATTGTGGCACTGGCGCACACACTTCCTTTTGCATTTGCAGAAGCTACGGGGCTCCCTGTGGAAGGTTTTACTGGCATGGTTAAAGGCAACTTCTTCACGTGGTCAGCACTTTCTGTCACTAGGTCTGTCTGGCAAGCAACAGACCTCATCACAGTTCCTTCTGTTCCCACAGATATGGAAACCAAACGCCTATCTTTTGTCTTCCGTGGAAGAGAGAGGCTTGGTTTGCTGTCACTTCCCCTTTTCAGTTGCTCAATCATTTTCTTCATCTTGTCTATCTCCTCTTTGAGGTCAGTGGTGTGTGCTTCTTCTCGGTTCAGCTTGGCACGAAGCTGTTCCCGCTCGGTGTCAAACTCAGAGAGTTGTTTTTCCATCTGAGCTTCCATTTCTGTGCTTCTTCGTTTCTCAGCAGAGAGTTCCTCTTCCAATTCATCTGTCTTTTTCTTTTCCTCTTCCAGTTTGGCCATTATGTCTTCGAGCTTCTGGGCCTCCTCTATGACCTTGCCTGAGAGCTGCTTGCACTCTTTGACGAGCATCAGGACCACCTGCTTGTTCTTGCCGCGTTCTTCCTCAAGGCGGGTGGCCAGCTTCTTGTGTTCTTGCTCTAGGGCTTGTAGCTGAAGCTTTTCCATTTCCAGCTGAAAAATTCACAGGAAAACCCTGATTAAAATATAGAATTTTCTTTTCACCAAAGAAATATCTTTTGTGAGATTTTTATTAATTTCCTAAGAATTACATAATTTGGTTTAGCAAAAATGCCACATTTTCAAAAAGTGTTGTGATAAGAAATATTTTAAAGGCTCATTAAAATGAGAAAATACATGTAAATGGTTTTATTTAAAAAATCTAAATTACAACAATAGAGAATTTAAAAAATCTATTGAAGTTAACTACAGAAAAGGAGAACAATAACCAGATGCTTTAAATCACAGCACAGGGATCAAAAAGGTCTATTTTTGTAAAAACACAGCTCTGTGATGGAATTGGTGATATTTTTTAAAAGGTTTAATGATTTAATATTAATCCCTGAGGTAAAGTATTATGGAAAGTACTGAAAACCGAGGACTTCAGTGAAATTCTAAGCCCCTATATTTGCTAATTGTATTACCTATCTCAGTAATGGAACTTCTTTGAACTTCCTATAATGAGTTGTTGTGGAAATAATACCAAATCACACATGAAAGTTCTTTGAAAACTCTAAGGAGCTGAAGAATGATCTTATTAGAACTGTATTTGGTGTCAGTGGAGTCTCACCTTATCTCCTTCTTTGATCCCATTTGTTCCCTTAGCTTCACTGGATGACCGGAGTTTCCTAAACATGGTCCTGCCTCAGGGTCTTTGCTCTTGCTGTTCTCTCTACATAGAATTCCCATTGCACACCTTCCCATAGCACTCCCACAAGCCAGGTGAGCACGGCACAGGAGTGACAAGCGGGATGGTGAGTGGGAGCAAAACTCCAGCCCTCCCTCCCTTCCTGCAAAATTCCCTACTCACTCAGCCACTTGCCCAGGCACGTAGAGAGGGGTGCCTTTTCCTTCACAGAAAGGCATTGTCTGTTCACCAAGCCACAGGCCATTAGGATTGGTGCTTTCCAGAGCAGAATCCTTTTTTCTAACTGATCAACCTAGAGAGGGAGTTTTTAAAGCCTTTCTCTCTCCAGATCGGGCTTTCTAATATACACAAAAGCTCCCGATAGCATAAGAGGTTGGCTCATGCATTTCTTTCAGGCTTCTGCTCAGCTGTCACTTTTACAGTGAGGGCTTCCATCACCACCCTGTGGAAAATAACAGTCCCTCCCACCCTCGTGTTTATCACCCTTTGTTCACTACCTGCCTGTACCCCCCAACCCCCCAAGCTAGAATATGACTTCACTGAGGGCAGAGACTGTGTCTTTTAGACACAGAACAGTGGCTGGCACACAGTCGTGCTTAATAAATTGTAAACTGAATGAATGAGCTGAAATTAAAACAGTTTCACTGATAACAATGAACTTCGGTTACTAATGGGCTTTCTGGATACATGGGCAACCTCACAGCAACACTAGTCTAACATATTCTTGCAGATTTCTCACTTCTCTCCAGGGGAGCATCTGTCATGAGGGGCTCATGAAGGACAAAGGACACACCCCTAGCTGGTATGCAGAAGCCAGGTTGGCTCACATACCTCCCTTGCCCAACTAGTGAAATATTCCCCTGGCAGTCTAATGGGCCTTATGGTTCCCTAAAGGTTAAAGTAGATCTACCTGATTATAAAGACACGGATAGATTTACCTTCTCCTCTAGATGTTAAACACAAATATACTCTCAAGAGAGTCATTACTTATTGGAGTCAAATTTTTGTCATCAATAACAGAGGAAGAAGACACTGTCATGATACATGAGTCACGAGGATGTATTGCTGTTCCTTACCCTGTTATAAAAATCCACAACTTTTGGTCATGGGACCAAAAGGAGAAAATGGCTTGCTATCCAACTGGTGGTCAGAGATATTGTTTCTTTACTCTGGGATGCTTCCTGCTTTGACAAACAATTGCTAAATAAAATAGCATTGGGATGTGTCCCATAAATAGATGATCAGGAATATAGATTATTCCTCAAAAATAATTACACATATACTTTATTCTACTGTATGAAATTTTGGGAGTAATTTCATAAGTAGATTAGATAAGATTTGGGGAACAATAGTGTCATATGCTGTATTCATATGTGTATCTTATTCACATGGGTGCCTTGCACAAATTTGACATATTAACTAAAACACGTTGAACTCTTTTTAAATGCATCAAATAACAGACTGCTGTTAGAAGGCATATGCAAAGTTAGAACTGGTAAGAAAATTTAAATCATATTTTATACTAACCCCAACAAAAAATAATTTTATAGTAATGTAAGAAAAACAAACTAGGTCAATTTTCAGCTTGCTATTAAAATACAAATTTTATCATCTGCCTCTGAAGGTAGAGAGAATTTTAAGAGCTATCTTCATTTTACAAAACAATTACTAGAGGCCTTATTAGTGTTTTTTTCTAATGTCATCCAGCTAATAAGTGTCAGAGTCATGGTAATCACTCGGAGTTCTGCTTGTCTCAAGTTTTCCTCACCATATCTCACATTTTGTCCACAGTAATTTGGCACCGTGGATGATCATCTTTCAAAATCAAATTGAACAAAGAGTTTCAAGTGGAGAGCAACTCAGCTAATGTCAGATATTTATACATAAAACTATACTATTATAAAAGCATCTGTGATTCTTTTCTTTGTCCTCCATCACTTGAGCTTTGTAAATCCTATCTCAGACTAATGCATGACTTAAAAAAAAAAATCTTACCACAGATAGCCAAGCAGAGGAAACCTCACAATTGACATACATATAAACATATGGCTCCAAACTCAATTAATCTCTGACCCCCAACCATCAATCACTCTACCTAACTTTATTTAGCTTCCTCTGCCATTTACTACAAGGGATATTTCAAACCTTTGCCTTTCCCCAAATCTTGACCCAATGACCACTCAACTAACTCTTAGTCTCTCTTTACAGACTTCTTTATCAAAAACATTCAAACTCAAACTCACTCACTCTCCCTTTCATCCTATCTCCTCCTTTAAGCTTTTTCATAGCCACACCAATCCATATGTCCTTCCCTTCAATCTAAGGAAGAAAGCTTTCCATCTGTTCAATGCTGAACTTTTTCCTTCAGCAATTAACTTCATTCTCTCCCATCACCTCTGGGACTCACTCCATCAGCTATCACGTTGCTCTTTTTAAATATTAAACTCCTGTTTCTCTACAGGAGCCTTCCGGTCAGTATGTAAACATACTCCCATACTTTAAAAATAATTTTTATATTAAAAACTCCTTGACCATTTAAGCTCAGAGACAAAGTATGTGTACTTAAGAGAATAAGAGATGTACCACTAAATTCTGATTTCAAACTTACTAGCTGTGTGACTTTGGTAAGTTCTCTCTCTAAAGATTCGTTCTGTATGGTCCTAATAATTATGTTATTTTATGCTTTTAAATAAGACAACACGTGTAAAGCACACAGTATAGTGCCTGGCACTACAAAATGCTAAATTTTCAATTCATAATACAATAGCTACTTGTATTATTTTAAAATGTGTGTGAATCTGCACTATATTTCTTCCTCTGAAAACACACTAGAGGCATACAAAGATCTAGAGAATACACCATATTAAACATGTAGATGAATGTTTTTATAAGTTAGATGGGGTCTAATAAACATTGCTTCTCCATTACTGGTAGTAGAACTTTCTCTGATATGTTTCACATATTCTTCAATTATGAAACATACCAGAGAAAGTTCTACTACCAGTAATGGAGAAGCAATGTTTAATAGATCAATTCTCCTGCAGATAATTATTATAAATCCTTGAAAAACATATAAAACATAGTGATTTGAAGGCTCTTGAGAGCAATAAAAGATGCAGAAATCAGAGAGGAGTAAACCCTCCCATAAGAGAGGCGGCAGTAGCATTGGATGAGATTTGCCTTTGTGTAGCTGTTCAGATGGAGGCAATTCTCTATTCCGGTAGCACTGGCAGCTGAAGCTCAAATACAATGCACTGGTCATATGGGCTTAAGGAGTCAGAAGATGAAACTGGGGTTGCCATGATTTATCAGCATTCTTGGTTGATCCTTGAATTACATATTTATGGGAGAGACCCCAGAGAATGACAGAAGGTGGCTACTGAATGGCTGAGAGGGCTGAGCAAAGACCTCAGATGCTGCCAACTGCAAACGCTAATACGAAGTACAACCCTTCAGCAGGTAACAGAATCCAGAGTCTGTCCCATATCATCTGCAGTGCTCAGTATAAGTAAGAAATTACTCGACATACAAAGAAATTAAGAAAAAGTGAGTCATAGTCCAGAGAAAAGTAGTCAATAAAAAAACTGGCCCAAGATTATCTACATTGGAAGTAGCAGACAAGGATTTTAAAGCAGCCAGCCATTTTCAAAGAAAATATGGTCATAATAAATTAGAGGAATCTTGGCATACAAACGAAAACTGTAAAAAAGAACCAGATGTACAAACAGAACTGATAAGTATAATATCTAAATTGACAAAAAGTTCACTGAATGGGCTTAATAGCAGATTTGAAAGAGAATATAAAGGATAATGAATTTGAAAATACAGGAAAATAAAGTATCCAATTTGAAGAGCATAGAAAAAAATCACTGAAAAAAAAAATGAACAGCATCTCGTTTATATCAAGGGCAATATAAACTGCTCTAAATTCCATGAACTGGAGATCCAAAAAGAGAAAAAAGATAGAATGGGGAAGAAAAATATCTTAGAAAAAAAAAAGGCCCCAAAATTTATAAATTTGAGAAAACAGAAAACATACAAATCCAGGAAGCTCAGCAATCCCAAAGCAAAAAAATATAAAGAAAGTTAAACCTAGGCACATCATAGTAAAACTACTGAAAAGAAAGATAAATAATCTTAAAATCAGCCAAAAAATTAAATACATATTACATATAGAGAACCTACAACAAAAATGATGGCAATAATTTTCTCTAAAATATACAAAGCAGAACTTGACAGAAATACAGGGAAAATAGACAAATCTACAATAATAACAGTATCTCATTTTAAAAACCTAGATCAAAAA